AGATTAGAGTCCTCACCAGGGGTTGTTTCGTAGAAAAAGAGCTAGGGGAACTCATTAGCATAACTCATTAGCACATGCCACACACCCTGACATCACCGGAAGTGTGTCATAAGGCCACACCCCCTGACATCACCAGAAGTGTGTCATAAGGCCACACACCCCGCCCCCAACGGTCCTGGCCGCTGCTGGCCTTGCAGCTCCACTGCTGAGCCCCATGAAGGGCCCGGCGGTGGACCGGCAAGGCCAGCGGGAGTGCAAGGAAGCCCCACGAAGGCCCACCCTGGCAGGCAGGGGTGGGGAGAGACAGGGAGGAAGCAACTTACACTCCCTCTTCTCCTGCCTCCTCCTGGCTGAATGAGGGCCGGAAGCGGGGCAGCCGGAAGCAGGGGGTGGGGCTTCGTCATGTGCCCTGCCCCCCGTACCTCACCCGGGGGAACTGCGATCCCCCGCGATCCCCCCCGAAATGACCTCTGGTCCTCGCACTTAACCACTACACCAAACTGTAGCCTTTGTCAGACATAACTGAAGGGTTATTTGCCATCATATAAAAAGTAACACTTCCTTTCACAAAGATATCACTTCCTCTATTTGTAGGGTGACAGGGTTCAATATGGTTCAAGGACAGCTTGTTTCTTCCCACTTTAGACAGTGAGATATTTTGCAGCTGAACAAACAAGAATAATATTTTTTTCTTTCTTTCCCTCACCCCTTTTTCCTTATTCTGTATTTCTATAAAAAGGCAAAAATAAAATTAAAAAAGGATAATATTGGTGAACCAGGACAGAGCAACCCAAAGTCATTCGATGGAAAAAATGCAAAGCAGAACTTCACACAGATTCCATTACATACAAACAACGGAAATATATACAAAATATGTGGTGTAGAGGAAAATTCTTATTTTACTTGTTCATACAGGTATAGTAAAATAATTATTAAGAAGGGTGGCATAGTTTTCTTTCAAATATTATTTTGAATCAAACAACCATTTTGTTCTACTACGAGGCTTCCACTGCCATGAAGCCAAAGTGACAGGCCTTTCCTTCAGGCATTATTAGTCAGCAAACATTCTAAATCTGGTATCAGGATATGCTTACACCATAATTACTCTTCCCAACAACTGAGTACTCAGTCATCAACACCAATTAAAAGAAAACAGGGCCTTCTCAATTCTTTCGCTATTCTAAAAAGGACAAAGCCAGATGTAATAAGATTTCAGATGACGATTGTTTTTAAAAAAATACCCTTATTTTACAGTTCATTTTCGGCCGAACTTGCTTTTTCTTGTTTTCACTTCGAACAACTCAAGCACCACAAAAGAACTAGTCATTTTAAGTTTATGATTCAGTGTCTCGGCCTCAGACCTAATGCAGGAAACAGATAGCTGTCAACAAGCATTTTCAACACTCCCATCGTCACTACTGATGGACACACAGTTAGCCTACCTGAACTAGAAGAGCCGAAGAGATACCCAAACATGAGCCCTGACCCACTATATCTCCAGTGTTTACCATGGGGAGCTGCTCAGTACTTTACAAAGCTATCACATTTGTCATAATTACATCAGCAATTACTACAGCAAGCCCTTAAAGCACACCCAGCAGTTACCCACTACATCATCCATGTATGTGTTCCCAAGAGTTCCTATTCAAGCAGATGAACAGGTATATGTACACAGATGCTTGTATATTTGCCCCAAGAAAAGAATATGGGGAGGGGGTGAACCTAGTAGGTTTTTTTAACCATTATATCATTACCTAACTAAGGCCCCGGTCACACGAGCGGTTTTGGGCCAGGAGAGGGCCGGATCGGGGGCGAAGCAAACGGGCGCGATCCGACAGCAACATCTGCGAAGCGTGGTGCACCCGTTCCCAATCCGGCCCTTCCACCAAAACCCCACATCAAAAATAAACCACCTACCTAGGTGGTTCGTCGGGACAGGGCGCATCAAGGCCGTGCTCAGACATGCGCAGTTCAGCAGCCTCCCCCTCCCGACCGTCTCTTCCTCCCCGGCATCTGATCGTGCCGGGGAGCAACGGCGCCGCAGCTCAGGGGATCCGTGAGATCCCACCTCAGCATCTCTATTTTGGTGCGGCTTTTAAAAGCCGCACTTTGCCCAGTGTTTTTCCTGCCGTGTGGCAGGGACCTAAGAGAAGAAGCACTTTGTAATAATATATATATATATATTTCGCTTGGCACTAACAGTGGCAAGAGCTCAGCCAACAATAAATAGTAAGATGGTTGTATTTTTTCCCTTTCTTCTTACAATGAGCTTAGAATTTGCACAGCTGATCTTCATGGTCCAATTCAAAGCACCAGGCCTGGGTCAGAATTTGTTTCCACTTGGTCTTGTTTGTGGAAAACAGATCATGACACTCAATTGCCACGAGCAGAAGCTTTTATTAATTTTTGAGATCTTTACTTCGTCCTACCCTGCAAGCTGGCTCAAGGTGGCTTACAACATCTCATAACAAATAAAACAAGTTCCAAAGCAATAACCCATTAAAATGTCAAACTTAATCTAGTGTGATTAAAATTTTAGGTGAAGAACAATTCACGACAGCCGGAAAGACGACCAGCGCCGAAGAAGGCGCCGTCGGACTGTCCCCTCGCAAGAAGATCTGCTACAACAGAATAAGGGTGCCTGGTAGGCTTCTCACCGTCCCTACACATATGTGGCCCTAGATTAGGATTGTATGAATTAGAATTGTAAGCCGCGCCCCTGGGGGGGGGGGTGAGCGGGATAGAAAGTCGAATGAATGAATAAATCACTAGTGGCAGCTCAGAGGTTAATTCCAGACCAGTATAAGCTAAGTTCTTTTGCCAGGAAAGGGCAGGGGATCACCCAGATGACAGCTGATACTACCATGGAGCAGTTAAAGCAGGGGAGGCTGATGTTAATTGACGTTAAATGTATATCCCATTACCATGTAAATTTTTAAGAACTCCAACAAAAGCCTAACAATTCTGTGAAATGGCCCAGACTCAGCAATAAACAAAAAAGAACTGAGATTTCAGAATCTTTTAGGAGCTAAATAGCTGCTAAAACTCTTGAAACTTAAAAAAAAAAAAAACACTTGCTACCAATAAAAATGTATTTGCTTACATTGTTTATTGTCTGCCTCTGGTACTGAGACTCAAAATGAATTAAAAAGTGTAAGTCAATACAATCAACAAGATGGAGCATCCAATAAACAATGCAATAGGGTTTGGATTGCAGAATTCTCAAAACAAATATGAAAGTAAGCTGAAACAAAGAATAAGCATGTAAACATGACACATGAAATGATGCAGAAATTACACAGCAGGAGCATACTTCCAGCAAAAGGCAGTAAATACTATACATGGTAGTATAATCCACAGCCCCATCCCTTTACCAAAGCATCTTTCTGAACCATTTCATTACAGTACAGCCCTATTTCCTGTATAAAAAAGTCCTTCTGAGTAAGTCGGTTTTGCATAGTTTGCAGAAAGCCAACAGAGTGACAGCTTTCCTAAACTAATCAGTTAGACCACAACAGAGAACACATGTGTACAGGCAGTTGATTTTGCCTATTTGCAGGGTTGTACCTGCAGAAGGTCCTGCTCTGATGAGCAAAGCTGTTGAGGCAGTAATAGTAATATTAATAGTAATATTAGCAATAGCTAATATTTTGACTTGACCATGGTATATGATGGGAAGCCGATGGAGCAACTGCAGAATGGGATTAATATGCACGATCCACCTAGTTGGTGACCTGTGGCATCCTGAGCTGTGGCGTTCTGCACCAACTGGAGTCTCTGAATTGACTCTGAGGGGAGTCCTATGTAAGGGTAATTACAGTAGTTTAGTCTTGACATTAGTCAGAAGTGGAACCAGGGGGCCAGGTCAGAAAAAAGCATTTTTCACAGCTGCATTAACTTCCATCTCGAGCAGCAGTGTTGGATAGTATAACTCCTAGACTCTTAACTGAATCAAGCAAGGGTCAGGTGAACCCCATCAAAATTGGGAAGCACAATATCCTTCAAAATCTCTGCCTTCCCAGTAGGCTTACCAAATTCCGGCGGGGGAATTGTATTTCCTGGCAGGAGCCTCGCCGCGGGGACGGCTGCACGCGCTGCACCCGCCGTCGCCAGGATGTGACGCTCCGCGTCGCTCTGGCAACTCCAAACAGCCCCGTTGCCAGAGCGACGCGGAGCGTCACATCCTGGCGACGGCGGGTGCAGCGCGTGCAGCCGTCCCTGCGGCGAGGCTCCTGCCAGGAAATACAATTCCCCCGCCGGAATTTGGTAAGCCTACTTCCCAGCCAACATCACTTCTGCCTTGTCTGGGTTTAAAATTGGGCAGCTTCACCATCATCTGTCTCTGATCAATAAATGGATGAAATCAGTAGAATAAGCCATGTAATGAATTTAGTGTGATGTAAGAGATTCAGTTTTGGAATAGGGAAACTGAGGTACTAATCCCCAATTGGCCAAAAGGCTTACAGGTTGACCTTGGACATCACTGAGGTCTGACCTACCTTACAGGTTTGTTACAAGGATGAACAAGGGGAAACCAAAGAGCCAGAACGCCTTAGAGAATAATTAAGATATTAACACAGCTACCACTTTTCTTACACAGAATTTCAGTGACAGCTGTAAGAGAGGCTCTCTTGTGCCTTACATGAGACAAAAACAAACAGGACCTTAAAAATAGCTATGCAGATACAGTTTAAAACTGTGCTGCCTTTAAAATAAGAGCAACACTATAAAAATAAAATGCCTCTTATTTCTGGCACAGCTGCCTGGAAGAAAAACACAAAATAGTTAGTGATTTGTTTTGCTGGGCCAACTCTATGAGCAAGGAGCAGAGAACTGATTAAAGCGGTCATATTTTTGTCCAAGAGAAGTCACGAGCATAGAACTTCATTCCTCTTGCTCTCTGAGACCAACCGCTTACCCATAAACAATTGTAAGTGGAATGCCACAACAAACCAACATGCATTAGGACAATATAAATAGGTAAAGGGGTTTAGACTCACTGGTTGTAATGATTCTTCTTGCCTCCTGCTTTGGCTCTGCCTATTGATGAAGGACCGTGTTGATACTTTGTAATGGTTCAACAAGCAGATGATCACTACTACCATAACAGTTATCACCACAATTATGATGATGATCTGAACGAACTCTAGTTCCGCTGGGGGGGAGAAGAAACAGAGAGGGAACGTGTCACTCAGGTATCAGAAAAGAAGGGCAGCATCAGAGTGAAAAACAAGAGATGAACCCTCATACCTCTACAAATATCAGTATTCTGCAGATAAACTACTCAATACCTTACAAACATATCCTGAACTAGTAATTACAAATTTCTATGGAACAAAGAATCTTATGCCCTAATCTAACAGATGAAGGGTTTTGTTTTTTTCAAGTCCGAACACACTGGGCAATGGATCAATAAACAACTATTTTTGAAACCCAGTTTCAGGTTTTGCCTGAAAAAAATAACCAACAAATTTTTACAAGCAATTGGCACTAGAAACAGAGGAGACCAACTGGCTGTGTCCCCATTTGATTATCCACCACCTGCACCTATAAAAAGCTGATCATTCTCAAGGTTTTAGCCAGTACGCTGTAAAATTCAATCCAAACATCATTTACTGGACACCATCTTACCAAACCTATACCTCAATATTACAGGGGAGGAAACAATCAAACATCCAGTAATAAACCAAGAAATTGTGCTGTTTTAAAATACTTAATATATCACATATATACCTTCAGAAAGTCATCCTGGAAAGTATACAGTTAACATACTCGAAAGGAAGCTCATATTAATACCCTCCATGGAAACATTCCTCAGGAGCAATAAAAGTGCTGAAATAACATATCTAAGATATCCTCCTATTATTTCAACTGGATCAAGCATTTTGTACTAAGAAAGGGGAGGAAGAAAACTGGGCCAGAATATATACATGGTGAATAGTAGCCACTGTTATCTTGGCATGACCACACAAGGTGTTGGCAGGAAGCACTGCATAAGCCAAAACGATGGACATATTCTCCACAGGCGTTCAACCACAAGAGAGGTCTTGAATGGCCGGTACCTCCTCTACAGCATGTAGAAAATCAACACCACCCTAATCTTACAAGTCCAGGAAGCTGCATTATGGTACTTATAACCATGTTACACTCATTGTTCTAAGCAACAGGATACAAAAATTATGAAGCTGTCTTCCAAAACACCACCACAGTGTAGTTTTTACTGCCACCACCACCACCACAGTAGAAGTACAACACAACAAGAAAACATAATAGTGGGACATAATGACCAGAAGGTCTCCTTTGAGAAAAAGAGAATCCTGACCACACAAAACTTCATTAAAGGCAACAAAAGAGGAAGAAAAAAGGAATAAGAATTGTATTTGCTAAGATGATAGTTCTTTGGGGGGGGCAATAAAACCATGGTGATGAGAAACTAACTAAGAAAGTCACTGTGGTTTTATGAAGTCATGATGATGCCCATAAAATGTCTTAAAGATTAAAGAAAATGCCCCAGGGTACTGCAAATGTTTTCCTTTTGGAAGACATGATAATTGCTTTAATACACCTCAGATTCAATTAATGCATCAATTAAAATTATGGCACTTTGGGACAAACTTGTCACATCATTAATCTTGAAGGATCGCACCTTCAGCCATTCAGATTAGCGGAAAAATACATAAGTGACAGAACAACGTACAAATATGAGCAAGGAGGAGAAAACACTTTCCCCATTCACTTTTTCCTATAGAGCACAAAGAAACCAAACTATGTATGGCAATTATTCAAGTTTTCAGTAAACAGCTAAATGTAGAATATGTCCCTTAAACAGCTGTCTTTTCAATTAACAAAAATGTCTCACAAAGAGTAATATAATATACAAACAGAATGGCTGGCACAAGAGTATCTTCAGCATTACAGCAGCGGGAGGAAAGGGGGAAAATATGACTGCAATAGCTATTTGTTTAAATAACAATAAATAACAGCTATTTATTTAAAAATAGGTGAGTCAAATGGATAAAAATGTTCTGACTCATTTTCTTAAAACTCTGCCTGAGTTTAAACAGAATAAAATAAAATAAACATGCATATTCCCAATTAGTTTGCAAACCAAACAACAATTTTTAAAAATCCCAGTTTCCTCTTCACTACAGGAACTGAAAATGTGCTAGTTGGCTAGTGGCAAAATAAAATACTTTCAGGCAGGGCTTTTTTTGTGGGGGGAAACAACACAAAGTTCTGGAACCTCTTTGACAAAATTCTTTTTGAAATGTTTAAAAGTTTATGAATTTCCAGTATACAGACTGAAAACGTCATTCCCCTCTTGAGAGTTCCAGCACCTCTTTTTTTTTTAAAAAAAAGGCCCTGCTTTCAGGACAGACATGTGTTGCAATACGCAGCTACTTCTCTAAATGGACAAGACTGCACACAGATGATCATATAATTTTACTGCAGACCACAGAAGTTATTTGCAGACTGGAAGATTAAAGAGACTCCTTGATGTGCATCTGCAGTACATGCTGTTTCTCATTTTTTGCTTTTGTAGCCGAGTCTTCGCATAGGACCATCAATGGCCAAGTACAAATGCTCTAATACAGCCAGTTGCACACACATTACTCCTCTCACTATGAACACCAGACTCAAAATCAACATGTGAATATTTCCTCAGGTCATTCTACTGATAAGTAGTGACAACAGGGTTCAAAATAAAACCTCTGTATCGGTGCCCTATGATTCTGATATCCTTGAAGCTCATGTTTTGAATTTAAAAAGCAGTGGATTCACAGTTTTTGAACTACAAGATCCCATAATTTCAATTATTTAAAGCATCAATAACACAATTATATGTTTGGCCTGAAAGTATTTTATTATTGCATCAGTTAAGCAGCAGTTGCAAAAGACCAACGGGCAAAATAAGCAATATTGATTTAAACTTTCCTAGAATACAGTGTGGCTAGAATGGCATGTTGCATGATCTGGCAGAAATACCACCTTCTAAGTTTAATCAAGGACCCCACACATTCATACCAAAGGATAGTTTTTCATTTTCATAGCACTCTGTTTGCAAAGTCTTAAATAGCCTGGAAGGAGGAGATTACAAAAATTTACTGGACGCAGTTTCTGAAGTCAAAACGTACATGACAGCATCTACTCTCACTCTATGCTGTCTTCCCACACACACACTCTTGATTGACTTGCCTCTACAACAGGTGAGAAATCACGTTCCAAAAACCCAGCACTGGAGACTTTTTCCGTTAGATTATGGAAGGAGGATTTTTACACAAAGGCTTTCACCTAGACTTATGCCATCACAACCACTTAGAATTACAGCAGTGCCCTCCTTTGAGACTTTCCCTTCGTACACACTTCTTAAAAGTCTACAGTCCTTACAATGGCAAAATAGTGCCACAAAAGAATAAGGTCACAGTACTAAGGAAGGCATAGTAGTCCATTTATTCATTATGACTGACATTTTTAAGAAGTCTAGTAGTCTTTGGAACACACACACACAAAATTAAAAGCATCAAAGTATATGATTACTAGAATACCACATGAGAAACCATCTCCTGCCATTATAACATACAGTCACATATATCTCCATCCACATAACCATGTAAGAAAAGAGAAGTATTGGTATTCCTGCCTACCACATCTGTTTGCCCTGTTCAGCCTGGAATAAATATCACCCCCTCGCTCTGCCCTCAGCTTTAACAACACAGACGTATTCTCCATCCACATTCATGCACTGAGGAGTCAGGAAAGGAAATCCATCCTTTTCTAGCTCTTCCACTGTCCTGAGCATAAGTATGGCACAGTAACGAAAGCCATCATAAAAACTCCTCTGTGTTAAGAGACCTGGAGCATGCATGCGCCTTACCCTGAACTCTCTGACCAAGAGTACTAAAAACAAAATATATTTCCGAGAAAGAAAGAGCATCAAAATAAAGGCAAATTTTAAAAAGGAAAAGAACCGTTAAAAGAGAACAGACGAGCGAGAAGACTCAAAGGATGAAGTGAGAGAGGAGGGGAACTAGAAATACCTCTTTCCAAGGCTAGGTCTTTCAACTGAGCATCCTTCAGGGCTGTGCTGTTAAGCCGCTCACTGGACATACTCGTTTCCTGCCCTGGGGAAGGAGCCGCGGGGCGCGCAGGGCATAGCCAGGCAACGTCCCCTGGCTGGCAGCCTCCACTTGCCCGGGCGCGTCTGGGGAGGCTCGGCCGGGCCTCCGCCTGGCCAGGTGGGACGGAGCCCCGCCGCTACCAGACACCCCGTCGCCGCGCGGGCTCAACCCGCAAGCCGCGCCGCCCCCCCGGGGGGCGGCGACAGCGGCGGGCGGCGAGGCAGAGCCTCCCGGAGGCCTCGCATGTTTCCCGGCGAGCCGCACAGTCCCGCCGCCGTCCCCCCTCACACGCGCCCGATTGTGACACCGACGGCCTCATCTCGCCCAACGCAGGCAGCAAGCCCACCACCGGCCATGTTCCGGGGGTGGGGAAGGGCCGGGTGGGGGGGGAAAGAAAATAAGGATGATACTTTTTAAACTGAATCGTTGTGGGTTTTCGTCCCCTAATAGATCAAGAGAGAGAGAGAAAGGTTTGGGAAAGGCGAGGAGGAGGAGGGGTCTGAGAGGGGTCGGAGTGGGGCTGAAGCCGGAGAAGACGCCGCTCTTACCCACTCCCCGCACCGAAGTGCTCCGCTGCCGCCGCGGCTCCGCTCTTTAAACCCGGCCCCGTCGACCCTTCAGAGGCTTCTCGGGCTTCCGCATTTCTGCTCCAGCGCGACGTGCGTCACTCCCTGCCCCAAACGCGGCACTCGCCGCGGCTTCAGCCGAGAGGCTCCGCTCGCCGCGGCTCCCGCCCCTCCGCCCCGAAGTCTCCGGCGATTGGGAGCTGCTCGCACGTGCCCTGTTCGGAGCTGGCGAGGCCCACACGCGCCGTCCCTCTGCCCGCCCCCGTCCCTTAGAAGCCCGCCTGGAAGATCCCTTGCCACTCCCGGCTTCTCCGGCGGTCCCCCACTAGTGGCCGTGCTGCACGAAAGCTCACGCCGCTATGAGACTCTTGGCCCCCCGCTGGTCAGAAGGGAAAAAAAAAGGGGGGGGGGTGTTCTTGAGGCTTCTGCCAAGCCTCAACCCAACCAGTTGCCTTGGAGACTCGGATTTACTTCAGTGGGTTTACCCACTGGAGATACTTCCTGAATCTTCTGGTTTGTTTCTTCCTTCTCTTCATCTTCTCCTTTTCGTTCTACCTAGGCAGAACTTCTTCAGCCCACACTGATTTATGAAACTCACTGCTACAAACAAGTAGTGCTGTCCACTGGCTTAGACTGCTTTAAAAAGGGATTAAGACATTCAAGGAGACTAGTAGTGTAATTCTAAAAACTCCACTGAATAAACCTGAGTGGACAGTAGTCTTTACATCTATCCGTGGCTGTTCGGTAAATGGAACCTCCATGTTCAGAGGAAGTAGACGACCACTGAATATCAGTTGTGGGAGTGTGTGTCATGCCCAGTTATTGGCTTCCTGGAATGCTCTGGCTAGCCAGAGGGAGAAACAAGGGGGCAGCTCAGCCAAGAATCCTCTTTTTTAAATAAAATGAATTTTAATTCCATATTATCAGCTTTTTATTCCTGTAAACCCACTTACTGAACCATTTTTTTAACTGAAAAGATAACAGCAACCAAGGAGACAGGTTGGGCTAGATGGGATTTTGATCTGAGGCAACAGGGTTCTTTGACAGTAGTCACTCCATCTCAAGCTAACATACCTAAGGATCTTACATTTTAAAATTATTTATACCCCATTCTTCTCCCCAACCCAAGGTCACTTGAAACATCATTGCCCCTTCCTCCATTTTACCCTCACAACAGCCACCTATCTGAAGAAGTGAGCAGTGACTCATGAAAGCTCATACCCTACCACTCTTTAAGGTGCTGCTGGACTCTTTTCTACCACTACAGACAAACACGGCTACCCATCTTGATCTAATAACCACCCTGTAAGGCAGGTTACGTTGATAGTATGTGGCTGGCACATGATCATCCGGTGAGCGTCTGTGGTGGAGACGGGATCGGAACCTGGATGTTCCAGATATACATCCAACACTCTAAACCCTGCGTAAAAATTAATGTAAAATCACACAGTTCTTCCCTGCCAGGATCATATTTCAATCAGGCCTGTGTCCAGCCCCTTTAAAGTGGAAGCCAGATTTTCATTGAAGGAGAGTGTAAGACAGGCACTGATGAAATTAAAATGGGCATTTTTCTTTCTCTGGGAAGCAATGTGGAAATCTGTGTTTGGCGGCCAAATTGACCGCAAGGCAATTTATTGGGGGAGACTGAGGAAGAGCATTAATTTCCTTCCATGAGAAATTATGTTTGGGAGGTAAATTTATTGAGGGGGAATTTATTTTAGGTGTTCTGTGTCTGCATCTTACAGCTCCATTTTTGGACTTGGAATGCTCCCTTATATTAAAAACTTCCTATAAACAGAAAACCATGATGAGCAGGGAGGTGGGACAGAAGCTTTCTCCCTGGCTGTACTACTTTTCTGTTCACAGAGTTGTTTATATGAAGGACCATTCAGAGTCTGAAGCACTATGTTGCATTCTACCCTCCTCATTCTCTGGCTGCCTCTCAACATGGAAGCTCCATTTATTTTGTTTACATTCTTTATAGTCCACCTTTCTCACTGGAACTCAAGGCGGATTACACAGTCAATATAATCAATGGTTGGGACATTCAATAAACAGTGCAATAGGATTTGGGTTGCAGAATCAACCACAAGTCTAAAAATCTAAAAGAACTGAAGCAAAGTGCAAGTGTTAACATGACACATTAACGGATGCAAAATTACACAGTAGGATCCAAATTACAGCAAACTATTCACAGCAGTACAGACCATAGTCTCTTAATAATTGTCCAAGTAGCTTTGTGAATCAGTTTGTACAGTACTACCCTATTGCCTGTGTAGAAAAGCCCTCTTGAATAATTCCGTTATGCATGGTTTGCAGAAAGCCAGGCCAACAGAGGCCTTCCTGACCTCCTCGGGCAGGCCAGTCCACAAAGCTTCTATTGGTTTTTTGTTTTTTTTAATAATATTTTTATTAAATTTTTATCAATACAACACAAAACACAATAGTTACAATCAAAAATTTCAAAAAACATTTAAGAGCTGGATTAGGTATATTTTTCACAACTTCTAAAACTTTACCAATATCAATGCACTTATTTAACATATAATTCACAACTTCTAAAACTTTACCAATATCAATGCACTTATTAAACATGTCAGTCTATAGGAAGTCAGATGTGTATATTTTTTTATTTTATGTTTTGTTTTCCTTTTCTCCTGTTTAGTTTGTCTTTTGTTATCCTTTTCCCAATAAATGTTAATTATACAACACTATTTTATACTTTGCATTTACTATGCTTTCCCAGTCAAAAGTATTTAAGGATATTTTTTCTAAAATAGGGTTCCAAATATTTAGAGGGTTATAGAATTCACATTCATTTTTAATTGTTGAGTCGTATATTGAGAATTTTTCGAGCATGAATATGTCCCAGATTTTATGGATCCATTGTGTTAATGTCGGTGGATGTTTGTTTTTCCAGTTTTTAGCTATTGTTGTTTTAGCTGCCTCTAATAATAAATTGATTAACTGTTTTGTTCTTTCAGGAGGGCGATTTTGCAGCCAAAGATGAAGAAGCATCAGTTCGGGTGATAAAGGTAAGTCAGTGTTGGTTAATCTCTTAATTTGGGTTATTATCTGGGTCCTCAAAGCTTCCATTGGTGGAACTTGACTGGGACAGGTAGGTAGCTGCGAGAAAGTATGGTACACTTGCAAGGTAGGATAGGCAAGACTTGAGTTATTATTGAGTTATACCTTTCTAAGCCTGTTAGAACGGTATGACTCTGCTTAGAATTGCACTGTTCATTACAGAATCTGTTCTAGTCTTATTAACAGTATTACTGATATTTTTTAGTTTAAATAGCCCATGTATCTTGACTTCTGTGCAGTAGCACGTCCAGTATTATAGACTCCACCTCAATAGCTTGTACTAGGACTTAACATAGAAAATACAGATTGACAGAGATGGAGAGGGCGGCAGTGCAGAAAGTCCTGGGTTCAAATCTACATCTGACCATAAAGCTCACTGTTCTAAGCCTAGCATACTTTATAGGGTTGTTACAAGGTATCGCCACCTTGAATAGGGTTGTCAACTCCAGTTTGAGGAATCCCTGGACAGTTGGAGGGGGGTTGGGGAGGGAATTTAGCAGGGTGAAATATCATAGAGTCCACCCTCTAAAGCAGCCATTTCCTTTAGGGTGCTGTCATCTGGAAATCAGGTGTAATTACAGGTCTTCTGGCCCCACCTGGGGGTTGGCAACCCTAACCCTGAATTCCTTGGAGGAAATGCAGGATAAGCCAAGGAAGTAAAACCCTCTACATCAAAGCCTAAGAAAAAATGCATCGTATTTATTGCATTTCTATCTTGCTCTGCCTCCAAGGATATTAGGGTGCAATAAATGGTTCTCCACTCCCCTTTCCAGTAACCCTGCAGGGTTGCGTGATTTGAACCCCAGTCTCCCAAATCCAAAGTTACCACTATTTATTAAAAAAATAACCCCAAACTTATCTTGTGGCACCTGTAGTTTTTATCATTTTGAATTGTACTTTATTTTAGTTTTAATGCAATTAGGTGTGAGAAAGTAAACAGATGGCGCCAGCTTGAAGATTAGAAACAGAAGCCAAAAGAAATAAGTTTAGAGGAAAGATTCAAAACAGAAGTGGAGAATTTAGACTTTTATATTAACTCACTCTTAAAGCTTGCTTCATTTCATGTTATTAGTAACTGGTTTGAAAACTAACCTGAATTATATAATCTTTCAAAGGCTTGATGAAATCTCCCCTAAAATCTCGTTTCATAGATAAACACAGCTGTGCTTCATCCACACAATCCATGTGGTCCACCCACAGGCCATTAAGTGCCATGTTTGTATGGTGGATTCTGTTTATGCTAAGGAAGGATTAATTATAATAGGACGTAGAACATTGCCACTGCAACAGAAAGTTAGATTCCAAAAGGAATGTGCCCAGAGATGTCTTATAAAGCAGCAGGTCCTGAATAGTAACTCTAGGGTAGTTTTTGGGCTGAGGTTGCTATCTTTCTGGCACGTTCAACACATTGTGTATATCAGAGAAGAAGCAGGTTTGGGGAGAAATCTAACTTCAAGCCACTGTCTGGTTTCCAGTAAATCAACCACAGTAATATAATCTGGAAATATCAGTATACAATATAGACCTGCAAGAGGATGAGCAGCTTTTTAATTAGTAAAGCAGTTTAAACACTAGCAGTTCCAGCAATTTAAATTAAGACCATAAGCAGACACAGCCTGCTCCTTCCTAAACGTTCCTTCACAGCTATGAGGGATAGTAACCTTTTTTTAAAAAAATGACTGAATAGAAAGTGAAAAGTAATTTTTTTTAAAAATTCATATGTGTTCTAGGCCTTATATTGTACAGCAGAAGGATACTCAGAATGCATTCTGTTCTCATAAATGTACTGGGGAAAGAGGGCACTATGAGACTGGGCTTCACTCAACAATTTGCACCTGTGCTGAAATATATGCCATTTCCCTTTGCAAATGAAAACAGCAATCGGAGAGAAGGGACAGAGAAGGCTACTATAAATCTTGACTATACAAATTGGTAGAGGTCTCTTTGTACAAG